CAGCAGAAATGTAGATTATCAAATTCAATTCCCTAAACAAATAATAGTAAACTGAGAAGCTTAAGCTAATGATCAAAGCCCTTCCAACCTAAGGCGCTCATCTTCCAGCACTATATCGGGCAATATTCTGTGATTCATAGGGTTTTCATTGTCTTATTTTCAGAAGCAGATCATCAGGCCTTTCTTCCTCGTCTGTCTTAGTCTACGATCTTAGTATACAATTGTGAAAATGGTGCCGGACCTGGCAACATTTCATTCTGTTATACATTCTGTTGCCAACTCAATGGCAACTAACAACAGCAACGAGCAAAAGTTTAAGTGTTTACTGGAAAAGTCTGGGAGAATTGAAAAAACAATTGAAGGTTTAGGCTTAAGTGGAGAATTGTTAAAAGGGAAAAAAAGGTTAATCATTGAACGGAACAATACAATCAGCTTGTGGAGGATTTTTCACAACTCTATGGGAGGCTCCACAGCAAAGGGGGCAGAAAACAATGAGCTTTCATTCAGGGGCAGAACAGATATGCCCAGTCCTTTGACTCCAAATGGCCTCTGGCAAGGCAGGAAGCAAAACACCATCTGAGAGCACACTGAATAAACAGAGAAGTCTATGCAACCTTCCCTGGACAAAATGGAACTTCTCCAGAGCACTCCATTAAAGCGTCAGTCCAGGTTACTTCCTATTCATCTATGACATTTCTCAGCCTGACCCTTCTAAATAATGTAATGGTAACTATGAAATATCTGCACATACTTGGATATGTATGACTAGGTGCACAGCTGCGAAGTTTTGCAATTTAAAACTCTATTAAAAATCTGAATTCCCTATACACTGGTCCCAAATTCTCCTTCCTGACATCTAAAGCTTCTAAAAGCAACGTTTGCTTTTTATTTGACCTAAAGATGTAAGGGCTCCAAAGCCCCAAAGAAAATACATTTAAAAGAAATCCTTCATGCCTTCTGATGTTACAAAATAAAAAGAGGAAGCATATCCAAATAGTACTGAACCAAAAGTCTGAGACTGCGGGATTTCCTGGGATGGGGAACTTTCAGTGCTAAAATCAGGAAAGTCCCAGGGAAACCAGGACAAGTTGAACTCCCTACGGGTGTCCATAGGTAAAGCACAATCCACTGGGGGCACAGCTCTCCCATTGCTAACATTTGTGTGAGGGACGGGATGAGAGGCTCAGGAATGGAGCAAGGTAGACCCGAAGTTTTTCCAGGGCCCCTCTGGTTCTATTTTCCGACAACACTATAAAATATCTAAGACCATGTTTAAGTGGATTGTACATCCTATCCCATGAGTAAATGCACATTTATATAGGGCCAGAGGGCTCTGGAAATATTGTGTGTTAAGTAGGCAGTAATAGAAGCTTAGTACTAAACCAGAGCTAGGAGTTTTCAGCTTTTTTTTTTTTTTTTTCATTTCTATAGGAAAAGGAGGAAAAAATAAATAGCTGTTCGAAAATTTCAAATCAGTCTTAGAAGAAATACAACCAGAATGTTCCTTAAAAGCAAGGATGGAAAAACTTCAGCTTGTTTACTTTGGACACTTCATCAGGAAAGACCAATTCCCAGAAAAGGACATCATGGTTGGTAAAGTAGAGGGTCACCGAAAACAAGGGAAACCTCAATGAGATGGACTGACACGATAACCTCAACAATGGACTCAAACATAGCAACGGTCATGAACAAGGTGCAGGACTGGACGAAGCTTCGTTCTGTTATATACAAGGCCGTCATGAGTCGGAGCTGACTCAAGGACAGCTGACAACAATAAGAAACTATCAAGCTAACAACGAAAATTCTCTCCATGCCAACACTCAGCTTAACTCCACTTCCACCCCTCCCAGATCACAGTATATCTATGCAAGATACATGGACAAAAGTTTAAAAACAGGAAATAGTATTCTGACTTGCTGACAGCTACTGCAAAAGATTCTATTTCTACATTTTTTTTTTTTAATTGTACTTCAGGTGAAGGCTCACAGAACAAATAGTTTCTCATGAAACAGTAGTACACATATTGTTTTATGACATTGGTTAACAACCCCACAACATGTCAACCC